GCGTGTGTGTGAGACCAGATGGCGCAAGGACGTTCCCTGTGTGCGTTGCTTCTGTAAATGCAGGTGCAGTTTGTCGTGTCTCCAAACCAGTTGTGCCGTCCACTCACTCCTTTCCAGAATAGAAATCTCCTCTCACTTCTCTGGCCTTGTGAGGGTGTGGACAACTGGAAGATTCTGACTCGGGAATCCAGAACCAGGTCTACCTTCAACATTTCCATAGTCAGGGCAGGGATGTTTATATCTTTCATAAGGGTTGTTGGAACCATATGGACTGAAAAAAAGCATTTTCTCATCCAAATACTGATATTCTTTACCCCAGGCCATCGGGCCCCTTTTATCCAATAGCATTCAGAGTATCTGAAGGTCCATCAGGTGCCAGCCTTGGGGCGCACAGAGAGAACAACATTCCTCTCCAACAACATCGGGAAGCTTTAAAAGAACTGTTTAGTGGGGACTTACAGAGAGATGGAAAACAGGCTTCTGGTGGGTGCATATTCTATCCTGGGAATCACCTGCATCTCCGATACTGCCCCTAGCCCCCCAGTTTGTACGGTTGCGACGGTGTTGCATTACTTGGTTTTAATTTCTAAGCAGATGATTGTGGGTGTGGGAACAGCACACAGTGAGGGTGCCTAGCACAATGCCTGGCACAAAGTAGGTGCTTAATAAATATTCGTTAAATTAAAAAAAAGAGGGAGGCTGAGGCAGGAGAATTGCTTGAACCTGGGAGGCGGGGGTTGTGGTGAGCCGAGACGGCGCCACTTCGCTCCAGCCTGGCGACAGAGCAAGACTCCGTTTCAAAATAAATAAATAAATAAATAAAATAAATATTTTTTCCAAAGCCCCACTCAAAACCATGGTATTGTTAGAGGTGTAATGGTTGGACCAACATTGAAAATACATTCCGTTTAGTTCATTTGTATGCAAGTATCCGTTCTCTCTTTAAAAATTGTTCTCAGTTGTAATGTTACACAAAATATTGGTAATTTATACTAATGACAGGTTAAATATTGTATAGTTTAGTGACATTTGATTGGAAAAAACTACATGTTCCACATGTCTTGACAATTTTTTCCTTCTCTATGAAATATTTGCTCATTAATTATTAAGTTTCAGATGTTACAGTTATCTTTTTGATTTCTGGGATTTAATTTTAGTTGGTATACTTGAATGCATTTTATTAATTCCTATAATAATGTTGATATTTCATATAGGATTTTAATATTAATTTTACTATTTACTGAATTGTAAACTTCTACATTTTAAAAATATTTTTAAATATACTTTAAGTTCTAGGGCACATGTGCACAATGTGCAGGTTTGTCACATATGTATACAGGTGCCATGTTGGTGTGCTGCACCCATTAACTCATCATTTACATTAGGTATATCTCCTAATGCTATCCCTCCCCTCTCCACCCATCCCACAACAGGCCCTGGTGTGTGATGTACCCCTTCCTGTGTCCAAGTATTCTCATTGTTCAGTTCCCACCTATGAGTGAGAACATGTGGTGTTTGGTTTTCTGTTCTTGCAATAGTTTACTGAGAATGATGGTTTCCAGCTGCATCCATGTCCCTACAAAGGACATGAACTCATCCTTTTATATGGCTGCATAGTATTCCATGGTGTATATGTGCCACATTTTCTTAATCCAGTCTGTCACTGATGGACATTCGGGTTGGTTCCAAGTCTTTGCTATTGTGAATAGTGCCACAATAAACTTAAGTGTGCATGTGTCTTTATAGCAGCATGATTTATAATCCTTTGAGTATATACCCAGTAATGGGATGGCTGGGTCAAATGGTATTTCTAGTTCTAGATCTTTGAGGAATCACCACACTGTCTTCCACAATGGTTGAACTAGTTTACAGTCCCACCAACAGTGTAAAAGTGTTCCTGTTTCTCCACATCCTCTCCAGCACCTGTTTCCTGACTATTTAATGATCACCATTCTAACTGGTGTGAGATGGTATCTCATTGTGGTTTTGATTTGCATTTCTCTGATGGCCAATGATGATGAGCACTTTTTCATGTGTCTGTTGGCTGCATAAATGTCTTCTTTTGAGAAGTGTCTGTTCATATCGTTTGCCCCCTTTTTGATGGGGTTGTTTTTTTCTTGTAAATTTGTTTGCATTCTTTGTAGGTTCTGGATATTAGTCCTTTGTCAGATGAGTAGGTTGCAGAAATTTTCTCCCATTCTGTAGATTGCCTGTTCACTCTGATGGTAGTTTCTTTTGCTGTGCAGAAGCTCTTTAGTTTAATTAGATACCACTTGTCAATTTTGGCTCTTGTTGCCATTGCTTTTGGTGTTTTAGACATGAAGTCCTTGTCCATGCCTATG